CATTGAAACGAGGTGGTCAATGCTGCCGCTGTCCCCTGAGTGGTCACGCTTTTGGTGGTGAACGAACCCCAGGTGAAGCCGCCGGACCTGATTCGCTCCACACGCCCAAGAGTCCAAGATTCGCAGCGCGCTGCTCGAAGTCGCTGCGTTTTTCGCTGCGAAGTGGGGCAGCGAAAAGGACACGTCATCACTTGAACGGAAGGTCCCTGTTCCAGTCAACTGGCAAAGAATCGTCAACCATTTGCATGGCAGAGCTCAGTTGTGTACTACACTACTACGCCCAGATCCTAGCAGTGCTTGCCCTCCAACTGGGTAGATGACTGATGCCTGCCCGGTGAAAAGGTTGACTCGCACACAAGGTAAGACCCCCACCGAAGCACTCACGTGCCCGTCAGAAGGATTGGTCACCCACGACCACTGAACCTACCATGCACATAGAAACTCCCACCAGCTCATCCAAATCGCTCGTTTTCATCCAAACGTTTCTAGCCCTGCCCATCTCAGGGCTCCCAGCCTCTCGAGACGTCTCGATCGAGAGGGCCTCCAGCCGCTGCCCCCCCCCCAGGTGAGAAGGATGTCTATGCCAAGGCGCAGGCGGATCAAGAGATGATCAGTGGTGCCATCGATGAGTTCGGCAGCGCCCGGACCCCCCAGTGTCGGCGCCGCGAGGTCGGAACGGGCAGCGGTTGAGGGGTTTTGGGATGGAAGGACCTGGCAGCGGAACATCCGTGTAGCCTCCCACAGTGGAATGGGCACCCCTTCCGCAAGATACCAAGACGCCAGGCAGCCACGGGGTCCTTTCAGCCTAGCAGTTCTTTCTTGCGTTTTTTTTGGCACCCCATACACTCGTGGCCGTGTCCTCGTCGGGCCGTCACGACTGACATCATGAGGTGTTCAGATCAGAGGTTAAAGAACCCTAGAGAATCCTATAGACTATGCCAGTTGGGTACCCCTGGTTTTTCGGGTCCTATGTCACTTAACCTTTGTTGGGAATTTCCATGAGCCAACAGGGAGGTCGGTCCACTTCCATCAACCAACCTCCACCTCCCCATGGCGTCAGCAGCGGGGTCGCACACCCCCCAGGCGACCAGTCGAGCAGAAAAGAAAGCCAAGAGAGTGGACGACAAGTTGGCGCACTACAACACCAGGCACCGGGCGGACGGATGTTCGGATTCTCGGTTGGTGCCTTTTTGTTCTGCAAGAAGTTTGCGGTCTCAGGGCTGGTGAATGCTGCTCATTCTCATTGTTTGGAAGTCCCCTCAGTTAGACTAGGACCTTCAGCGGAAATTGGGCAGCTTCTTCCAGCACGGATTTCGGGTGGAGTATTGAAAGTTAAGCATGGCATGGTTTCTAGGCTTCCAACCACCATTTTCTTGGCGCCGAAGCAACGAAGGGTTTTACAGTGCGGTGGTCATGGCATGTCTCACCCCCCCCCGAACTCCGGTGGTTCTGGATCACCGGAAGTCCCGAACTCTGGGGCGCAGGATCGGCGAGCTCCGCGACCGGCTGGATCAACTCTCCGCAGTGGCCAAGCGCCCCTCGGTGGGTGGAAGGTGTCAGTGGGTTGTGGCCGTGGCAGTACGCAGACACGCTATGGGACTAATATATTTATGCCGCCCCATTGACCCCTTTTCAACCACCCCCAACTGATCGGCAGTCCTATGGCTCCCATTAGTCGTGTTTGGGGTAGGGGGGTCGCACTGTGAACATGAGCCGAGACACAGGGCTGCAGTATAGACCAAGGCTCACTTTTGACTTGCATGGCTGATGATGACCAGTTGTATCCAGACGGTTCATTTTGGTACCCCCAAAAGGCCAGGCCCTCGAATGGGCCAAGGCGGTCTTCTCAGGCCGTGCTATGCGGAGCTAACTTGGATTTTCTAGGGAAGTAGAAATTCAACAGGGTCTCCTGAATGAGACGGATTCTGAGCTTGAAGTACAAATACCCTAGGCTTCCAAGACGACTGAAACAATGGTTGACCTGGTGTTGTAGGGCAAAATCCAGTAGTAAAACACTGTTTGTGGAAACGGCTATTGAATTGATGGTGGTTGGAAGCCCTACTAGGGAATAGAGTCCCTAAAGATTGTTCAGCCACCCTGCTTTCTGCCAGCCTCGCCCCGGGTAACAAGTTTTTGTTGATGGACCTTCATCTTGATGTAGCAGCTTCAACCAAGCGTTCCAAGCATTTCCAGGATTCCAGGGTAGACAGGGGTCTACGTGAGGGACCTCATGGTACTTCATTGACTCGGCCCGAGCATGCGGCGCCATCGGGGCGCTGAAGGGTCTTTCGTAGTCTTTTTGGCTGGAAACCTTCTCCGGCGGCGGCTTGGTGGGGCGCCAAACCGTCCGGAGCGCCTCGCAAGCACGTCTCCGGTGGTTTTTTTTTCGGCGTCTCCGACCTCCGCCCGTTGAGGATATCACATGCAGACCATGCAGTGGTTCAAAGATGTGGAGTCAGACAGGCGCAGCGGTCACCGGCCATGTGCAGTTGGGGGTGAAGCGTCAGGGGCGTCACAACCGGCCATAGCGAGGGAACCGGTCCGTGTGGGTGAGTCGGTGTGGCGCACCTCAAACGAAGCCTTCACACCACCCGGACCTTCCCCGTGACCTAACTTGAGATCCCCAGAGTGAGGTCACGAACAGGTCTTGAAAAGGTCACGTATAATCCTGAGGAGGTTGGAAAGGTCCTGGCAGGTGTGCTTCGTTTTGGGAGGGATTTATAGGGATTTATTGTGGTGGGAGAAGAACCTGGCAACTTGAGATTCCGTTCTTTCCGTTTTCGTTGCCACCTCACCAAAAACCACCGGACGTTGGCTGGGTCCGATGTTTGAGTTTCTCACGCTCTCAAAGACCCTCGCTTCAGCTGGGCTTTCCTCGCTTGAGCTCTAGCTTGAGACGGACCCAGCGGATCTTGGGGGAAGATGGAGTCTGCGGACGGTTTTCTCCACCTCCAGTCGTACCCACCCCAGTCCCAGCGAACCTCGGAAGTTCTTCCCTTTTGGGGACAGGACGCCCAACGCGCCGCGCGAGCGGAGTCGGCCACGGAGTCGGCGGCACCCCCCCCCCCTCGCGAACGAGTCCATGATAGTCCATGGGGATCAGGAAGTTGACCATGTCAGAAGGACTGGATGCAACGACTCCAAACACCACGGTGAATCGGAGGTCCCTGCAGTAATGCTCAAGCCACTGCACACTGCACGGCTCCAAAGGCTCGGCCTCACTGCAACTCCTTAGCCATTCCCCAGAAGCCGATGGCCCACCGCTCAAGCCACATCCTCAGAAGGGTAGGTACCGACCCCACAGTCCGCCTATTGTGTTCATGTTTGTTCTCAGGAGGTAGCTGGAGCAAGCTCAACCCGTACCCTTCACCACGTCGCTGGAAATGGGGTGCCCACTTAGGTGACCATTCCGCACCCCATCCATTCTTTGAGAACCTAAGCCAGACTCATGCAGAATTTCCAAACCCAGAAGTCCCAGAAGTCTGACCAACAGACAGAGGTTGAATGACCCGAACGTTCGACTATCCCAGTTGGGTACCCCAGATTTTTCCGGGTCCTATGGTCCCGGTCACTGGCTACCTCTCTTGGGCCATTGGGAAGTCGCCTAGGACGCTTCAGTTCGTGAGCCTCCGAGCTGTCGATCGAGTCGATCGATGAGTTGGGTCACGGACAGGTCACTGACGGTGGTCGGTTGTGAGTGGTTTTTCAGTGGGAGCCCTCTAGACGTCCGCCACGCATCGCCATGAACTTCTATGAGCAGCTGGAGCTCCAGCCGGCTGCAAGTCAAGATGAGATCCGGAGCGCTTTCAAGCGGATGCTCGTATTTGGCTCAGAAACGGACACCGGATCGTCCCCATTTTAGTTTTTTTAAACGGGGTCAGTGCTCCATGAGAGAATCATTTCATCAGAAGAAGCCACAGCTCCCACATGCCTTGGCCGAGACATGCCAAGACTTGCAAGGCAGTAGAACACCTATGCCCACCGATTTCCTGATGTTACCGTATGACTGGGAGAGTTGCAGAATGAGTGAAACCATGTGAAAGCCCATGTCTTGAAACATATTGAAAACAAGGATGTCCGGATTCTGACTGTTCCAGTTACGCCGTCAGGAAGGCTTTGCAGGTTCATCCTGACAAGGGAGGCTCTGAGGAGATGTTCCACGCGGTCTACAGGGCCTTCGAGATGTTGTCGGACCCAGGATGGTGTGGAGGCCAAACGTGTTATAGCCCTTGTCAGACCATAACCCACAGACTCCATGGGACTGCCATAGGACTGCCGGCCCATTGACCCCGTGGCACCACCCCTGGCCTGATCGGCATATATACGTAGCAGTCCCATGGAGTCTATGGGTAATCAAATCATACGAAATTCCTGGAAGTCCAAGACCATTTTAAATTTAATGGTTGATCTTGTTTTGTATAGTGGTCGTTTAGTAAAGGCTATTGAATCAATGGTGATTCGACTTCTAGGGAAATACCAGCACTGTTTCATGGATAATTTTTGTGGACCCCCCTTGAGACTCCTTATGCCAGGGGTCCTGGTATACCTCTTTGGCCACTTGGAGAAGATGGTTCTGTCAGTCTTCCAGTGGAGACCATGACCGGTGAACCGTCGCCTCGCCCCGGTCCAGTGGGACGCGGCAACGATCCAAAAGCGCGTTGAGGGAGGACGGAGCATAGAATGGGGAGTGCTGTGAGTTCATGGAAAACGCAAATATCGTTATTCTGAAAGGTATCGACACCCTAGGGCTCCAAGTGCCTCCGAAGCTCTCACCCATTGGTTGGAGATCTCCCCACTAAATATACACCCACATGTAGAGACCAGACATGACCTTTGCTTTCGTAGGAAGTTGGAGCATCTGACATGAACCTTTTGGGTGGCCCAATCGAGCGTTTAGGCTGGTGCAGAGACCCAAGAGAGTATACCGGCCCCTTTGACTCACGAACGAGTGAAAACCACTTCGCATGGTCGCATGGCCTTCCCAGTGACATCCAGTGACCATGCCATCCTCGGTTCTTCATGGTGATAGCTTCGGAGTGCAGTCGTCGACGACTCCGGAGTCTAAGAAGACCGCTGGCCACGGGGAGTTCGACGCCAAAAAGGCCTTGAAAGAGTGTGGGAATCTGTCAGACGGCACCGCTGCAGGATGCGCTCATGTCCAAGATCCAGCTTTTACTTCAGCGCATGCCGAGCCGAGAGCAGCGCTACAGACTGGTCACCGGAGCACTGAGCCAACAGCAGCGCGGATGCCGCCACCGACACCTTCTGCGCCACGGGCAGCTCCGACCCGGGGCCGACGGGCCACCAGACGGCGCCGAGCCGAGGTAAGGAGACCCAGGACCGTGGACCGGAACGAGTCCGAGGAGTGCGAGGAACTGGATGAAACGTCATTCAGAGGCTTGATGAAGAAGAGGGGCGGGAAATACGTGGCAGGAATCCACCTGTGCAACGTGAGAATTACGAGCCGGTCCGTCGACTTGCAAACGGGTTTGGACATTCTTTCAGTGCTGGCATCTGCCAAAGCCCGGCATCCTTTCCTAGAAGAGTTGCAAGGTGCTTTGGAAGATGCTGCCGAAGAACAAGGGCAGAGACTCTCTGAGATGGGTTTCCTGGTTCGATCGGATCGGGCGATAGCTTTGTTCTTCTCCCCGGACTGGCTCTTCCTCCATTGGAACGGGGCAAGGTCAATTGGATTGACTTGGTTTGAGGGACAATCTACAGGAATCCAGGGTTTTCACCCCGAATACCATTGGGGTTTCCTCTAGGTTTTCCCTTGCGCCCATTCTGGAGAACCATATGCTTTTCCAGTCTTTTTCCAACGTGTTTTTTCAATCTAAACTCCCAGCGCCTCGTAGACACGACGCTCCAGTTCCTCCCAGGTCTGGCCTTTCGTTTCGAGAAGACGATGCACTTCTGGTGTGGCCTTTTGGCCTTGCCCAGTTCGCACGACCTGGCGCAGGTGGAACGTTGGCAAGCTTCCTGCGTGGAGGTTTTTCGAGAACTGGGCTCTGGACCCGGGATGACTCCCTGTGTCCTGGTTTTGCGGGTCAGGTGATTTGTTTATTTTCTCTATGGCATGGTTCAATCCCCCAAAATGGAAATCTGTTGTGTTTTTTCCAGGTTCCTGGACCAACTCCGAGGTGCTTTCTGGTGGCGGAGCCCCGGATATCTGGCCGAGAAGTGGGGACGTTTGAGACCGAGGCGGTTGAGGTTCTGTCGAGGGTTCCGTTTCAGCTTTGCTTGGCACCTGGAGCCTTGAGGAGCTCATGAAAGAAGCTTATTATGAAGATGCTGGACTGGACACGGAAGTGCTACTGCTTCAGCTGGAGAAGGAGTTCCGCGATCGGCAGGTCAAACGAGAGAGGAGCCTGTGCTACTGGGAGAGAATGCATATGGGAATGATGGATCATAAAAGGTGCGGATAGGGTACCTTCAGTGTTGAGAGAGTCCTAGACGAAAGGACTTGATTAGACTGAATGAGCACTTATTATATTGAGTATATGGGGGGTGATGTCTCGACTTATGATGCAGAAAGTGCCCTGGAAGGCATCGCAACAGCAAGCTGCTTGATTGGAGATGGTGGCTTACTTTGAAGTACCACGGCAAGTTGAGGATGTTTGCGTCAGGCTCACTGGAAGATGAATTGAGAAGGTCCATCCTGCTTTGGCAGAAGGAACTGGATGCAAAGAGCATACTCGCCCGGCGGGCTGCAAAGCGGGCGGCTGACAAAGCTCGAAAAAACGCTGAATCGAATTCCTTGGCTGGCAGATGGAAGCGGCTGCGCAGTTCCAGCGGAAAAATCAGCGGCCCAAGACCACCAAGTCTTGGTGGTCGATGGTTGATACCGTGGCTCTCGGGTCCAGGGAAACCATACGGGAGGCTTAAGATGTGCACTAGGATTCCAACTTGATTTGATGGTTTGTGCCGAGCAACAACCGTTTAACCAAGAGTTCTGACACAACAACAGGTTGACCGGCAACAGTCAATCCCTAGGGATCCAGTGGTACCGAACCTCAGAAAGTACTTGGACCCCCCAAACCTACATAACACTGTCTCCAATCACCTTCTGAGAAGGTATTTGGATCCCTGGGGAATAAACGATTATCACTATTTTTTGAGAAAGGCCTGCCACCTAACAATCATCCACTAGGCCACCAGGCCCAGGGAATGGGATACACTCAACCTATATGACTAGATGTGAAACACTTTCCTGTATGTGGTGTAGCTGTTTACTTCCTAAACTAGTTCTGTCCGGCACCGCGACCAACATGCGCGAACGCCACCCGTTCGCAGGTATTCACCCATCGCCAACATGCCATTGGATACGTTCAAGATTTCGCACGACAAGGACCTATCTTGCAGATCAGCCGATCGATTCCGAAGATGATGTACATTATGATTCTATCGACAAGAAAGCCGAGCGCCTCCCCCAACTCCTGCCCTGGATAAAAAAACGGCTCGCAATTGGGTAGAAAAGCATCTTCCTTGCCTGTGGTCCTTGCGTGGTACTCTCTAAGCCTTGCTGCCATGTGCCGCCTCCCGGAAGCTCCGCGCTGCGGAGGAGGACTTCCCCTTGGAGTCCGTGGCTTCGTAAGACCCCGCGGGGAATCAGCGCAGCAGCCAAAAAAAGGAGGGTTTGCGACGCAGTGGTGCAAGTGAAGAACGGGACAAACTGGACTATGATTCTATAGGCTCGTTGTTTAAAACATCTTTGGGGGGTAAGATGTGGTACGCACCAAGCTTCTAAATCGTTCGAACTGTCCAAGCTTCGAATTAGCCATTTAGTGCTACGGGCCAAGCTGGTTCCTCTGCCTTTGCCGCGCCGCTGGGTTGAGCATCGGCCATGGGTTGAGCTTTGACTGGGTGAGCTGGCGATTGGGTGCTGCTTGGCTGGAGAGGTGGCAAAAGACTAGGGCCCCCGGGTGGCTAATGTATTTAATGGATGTTGATGGACACTCCTTAACCTCCTGGGCCGGGCTATTGCTGTACACCCTAGAGGGCCGGGCCGGGCATGTTGAGTTGGGATGCGGCACTTCGTTGTCGGAATGTGTGAAAATGGACTCGAGGTTTTCACCTGTGTTGCACTGGATCGGGCGGATCGGATCAGCGGTTGGAAACGCGTGTCTCTCACCTGGTGGATGACTCGTTGGTAAGTAAGTAAGCCCTTGTGTGATGTCCTCGGATTTGCTGAGGCTTGAGATGCTGGACGCGGTGATGGATCTCTTACATCCGGCACCTGTGCGCATGCGTGCGGCCGGGTCACGAGGTTCAACCCACATCGTTCCACCTTCCTTGGATTCCTCCTGCTTCGTTGATATTCAGTTGTCAGACGCGCCACCATTCAGAGGTCGAGTAGAGGCCCCCCCCCTCATTCAGATATGACAGGGAGTGGTAGAATGGTGAAAGATGGGGAACGTTAATATACAGTAGATGGTGCAACTCTCACCCAGGGCATCCAGTTACCACGACTAAAACCATAGACCGAACGAATCCCTGGTTCCTTATATAGTGGTTTGCCTGGGATGCACTGGGTCAGGATCGGAACTGGTGGTCCACAGGGCGCCAGACCGGAACAGAACAGAGAATGGATGATGGAACAGATGGGGCACACACGAACGAAACATATGAAGCCATTATGTATATCCAAATGGTCCACCAGCCAACTCTTGAACCAAATAGCTCGATCCTCGAGCCAACTCGACCCGTTTCATTTGGTCGGTTGGGGTGGTCCTTTCTTCGTCCGATCGACGATCTACGTGGAGGTGGTTTGGCCCTGGAGGCCCTGACGTTCGTGAAGGCACCCGAGTTCATCATGGCCCTGAAGTTCTCGCCACCCAAAAGTTCAGGTCAAGTTCTTGCCGGCGATCGTGGGTTTTCAGATGTGTTGGTGGGCCATTCTGACCACTTCAGGCGAACCACTTTGATTTGTGGCTGGACTTGCTCGCTGCGTCACAGACACAGGAGGCCGGACCTGGACGGGGGCACGGTCGACCTTGTTCCTCGCAGAATGGGTGCGAATGGGCCAAGGAACACGGCTGGGGATCCAGTCGTACCTTCTCAGAAGGTGATTGGAGACGCTGAGACACTGTTCTGTAGGTTTGGAATGGTTTGGAGGGGGTCCAGTCGTACCTCCTGAGACGAGGTACGACTGGATCCCTCAGGCACTCTTCCGCCATCCCCTCGTCCCTCGAACCTCTTCGGACGGATCCAATCTCCGAGTCCCCGAGCCACGTTCGCAGAGGTGAAGGGACCTGATGGGTGACCTAAGAGGTTGATGAAGTGACCTGTAAGTCATAGGAGCCCTTCAGGCCCTTCACCTGCATGTACCGGGTACCATCGGGTACCTCTGGGATCAGGGGTACCTATAGGATAGTCTTTAGGGTTCTTCAACCTCTGCTGGTTATGATATCCCCTTTCCAGTTGACTTCGGGCAAGTGAAGCACATCCTCCAGTTCCTCACAGCTGGGGAGGGTTGAAGTGGTGCGGATGGGGATGGCTCCGCAGGTGATGCTCGAAGGCACTCGACAGCCGCTCGGGCGCATTCTCCTCCTGCGCCGCGCCGACTCGGTGCGTGGGACAGCGTGGGAGGCGTCCCATGGACCCAGGGACTCCAGGGACCCGGTTCTTCGGGGCGTTTCACGGAAGGTGTCGCAGGGATGCGAAGCCAGTTCGCAGGCTTTGGAACATGGGACCTCTAGAACTGTTCAGAGACTTGGTTCGCCTGCTGGGGATCCGAGTTCCGGCGGTGTTTGGACCAGCTGTTAACATGCATGCAATTTGGGCGGGAGATGATTCTGCATAGGTTGGAAGATCCATAGGTGTAGGACTCGGAGTGTTCGAAAGCAGCGGGATCTGAAGTTCGAGACAGCCAAAACCAACTTGGACTCATCACTCCCATGCAGTTCTTGATATCTGAAGGGGGAACCTCGGAAACCCAAAGCTGCGTTCAAGGTCTACAGCTTCCTCCAATTCGAAGCGGAACATGGTCCCAATGTTCGACAGGAGTGTGGGTGGCATGACTGTCACCCTTTACTAGTAGCTTCTTGTTTCTAGTTAGTGATGCCCTTGTTACTTTTTTCGTTCCTAGACGCAGTCGACCGGCCGTGCGCCCGTCCCGGGTCGTAAGTCCACCGGCCTTGAGGCTCCAGCGTGCCTGCTTCAATGGGCTGAACGATCCGTGCCCGGGCTGGGCAACGATCGGTGCTCACGGGGTGGACATGTTCAGAGACCAATCTTCTTATGTGCCAGCAGTCACAAAGGGGTGCCTATTGGAGGATAGGGGTGCCCATTATCCACTCACTTAGGGACTGAAAACCACCCCTTTGTGACTCCTGGTGGCTAACTCAATGCTTTCGTGTTTTTTGGGCAGGTCATTCTAGGGTGCAGTGCATTGTATGTCATTTGCATCAGTGCTTTTGGACTGTCTTCCAGAGGTGCCCACCATCCAGTCCCCTTGGGTGCCCCAAAGTTGGGGGTGTGTGAAAGTCGGTGGATTTGGCTTCGAAGATTTGCGTTTGGAACCTTTTGATGTTTCGAGTCCACACGAACTAACAGGAAAAAGGGAAGAGGCTCTTCGATGCCAAGAGAGGTCAAGCGACCTGGGACCCCCTACAGGGGTTCCTATATATGGGATAGTCTATAATAGGGTCCTTCAACATCTTCAACCTCTATTGGTATGACTCATACTTCAGGCAGACAAAAGTTTACGCTTGTTAGCCTTCTTACAAAACACTCTGAGGTCAGCGGCGGA